TTGTGGGTATTTCGAAATATTTCTGGGCTTAATGAAGATGATCCCTTAGTGATAAATGTATATGTATACCTGCCTTTCATCGTCCCTCTGTCTAACTTGGGCATTTGTTGAGTATTTGTCACAGTTTTATCTAGAGGCATTCATGGCATCTCTGCCTTGGATACAACAGAAACTGGTGGAATAATAGTTCAGGTGGTGAAAAAAACCAAAAGGTTTTTTTTTGTAGTATATAAGCACCTTAAGAGAGATTTGTCAATGGTTTTATAAAACATTAATAAATGATTACAGGATATTAAAAGCATACTACAGACAGGAGTAGGTGTGTGTTATGTAGATGGTTATAAGCACCTCATTAGAGACGGTGTTAACACCTATTTACTCTACCAGTCTTTATAGGCTTCCTGTATGTTATAAGCAACAGGACTTTATAGGCAGGACTCTACAAATAACCTCTAAGAATGGATTAAATTATTTTTTGGAAGATCTAATAATGAATTCGTTCATTTATAAGAAGTTTATAAAGTAAGCTTCAATTAACATCCTCACCCCCTTTAACATACTTATTTCTGAAAGGCAGAAGAGGGCGTGGGGTTTTTCTATTTGTCTATGTCTACGCTGCAGACTTCTTGTGCAAGAAGCTTTCTGCGTAAGAGATCTTCCGTAAAAACTTCTTGCACAAGAGTGCGTACGCACTGCAAAAGCGCATCAAAAAAGTGATGTGCTTTTGCACAAGAGAGCATCCAGACCGCATGGACGCTCTCTCAAAAGGAAACTCGGATTGCTATTTACAGAATGGCCACCAGGGCACCTGGCCTTTTTTCGATTGCCTTTTTTTGCATAATCCCCCCTTGTTTGTCGTCCACACACACCTTTTTGTGCAAGAGCTCTTGCATAAAAAGGAGTTATTCCTCGTAGGAGGAGGAATACCTACACCGGAAAAACCCCTCTGTTCTTTCACTTTACTTGTGCAAAAACGTGCTTGAGGTGTGGACACGCTGCGAGTTTTTGCACAAAACCAACCGGTTTTGAGCAAAAACTCTGTAGGGTAGATCTAGCCTCAATTTGTCACCTTGTCATTTTCCATTTGTATGCTACTCTGAAGCATGGACATCATTTATATGTATTACCATGATACCAGAAACACAGGGGGCTAATTTCTGTCTCGGAGTGAAAAAAGTATTAAAAGTTATATATGTTGTTATTATTAACCCACACAAACTTTGTAAATATTAGCTTATTTGATCCATTCAGAACCTGTATATGTTCCATTTACAGGGCCTATTTGCCAATCTCTTATCATTATCTTTGTATTCATTTTGTTCAGATTCTCAAAGTGGTAACTGAGGATTATAAAATAGACTTGTTTCTGGTGTAAGGTACATTCATTCTCTCTCTCTGTCTCTCTCTCTCTCTCTCAATTCCTCCTACTGAGTGGATTTCCCATGCTTCCTTTCTCTGTATCGCTAATGTTGAAAGATCTGGCCACTTCCAGACAAGGAGCTATCACACATCTTTCTGTTGGTAATAATTGTATTATCATTGGATCTTTCCCTGAGCAAGTAAAAAGTTGGCACTCATAACCATATACATCACAGCCAACAGACAGTTTCAAAATATCTGGATGCTGGGTGCCAGTTTGCCTAAGGTCATTGTTTAGGAGGTCAATATCAAGCTATGCATCTGATACTTGGTTGCATCCTTGAGGTTCGATGAAAATATTTCCTCTGGGAAAATAATTTGCTCAGAGAATAAAACTGAAATATAGACTGTCTTGGCGAGGCTGCATGAGGCTGTTAAGCTGAAAGTACTCTTGACATTGCCAAAGGTTTGCTGAGTTGTGTGTGTGTATGTGTGGGGGGGCAGATTTAATCTTTTTGTCATCTTTTTGCTCAGAGTGTTGGGTCAGAATTCTCCATAATGTATTGGAAATGCCGATTATCCATTTTAGTAAATGGAAATGCCATTTCGGCTGCAGATGTAAAAAACACCCAGTTAGCAGTATGCATCATGCAGGCTATGTTACTGTTGTTTTCGAGACCTAACGTCTGGATGCAAACCAACCTCCAATTATCTAGGAACGATGGCTTGGCAAACAATACAGAACCCTTCCATTAGCTCTTTTTTCAAGGTTTTAGCTAAAGCAAATGCAAATGCAGATGTGATCCTAATGAGGGGTAGGTTAAAGACCTGTCAGGGACTTAGACTTTGTGCTTCATGTTGTTAGTAGGAATGATTCCATTGCTGGTTCTGGTGCATTATTGCACACAAGACTGTAGGCAGTGAATTCCATGGAAGGTCGTGCTCCGGGCTGTTTTATATTGCACTAAGAAAGCCTTTCTCCCATCGTCGGTGATGCTTTCTGTGCGGTATGCACACCTGCTGCAGTCTGCCTACCTGCCAGCGCAGGTGCTTGTTCTGCATAGTTTTCTCTGAATTCACAATTGAAGGGACAGGCTCCAGGCTAGGGGAGAGAAACAAGAAAGGAGTTTTTCCAGCATAGTCAGTAATGGGACATTTCTTGTCTTGTAATGCTCAGATCCTTTCTATTAATGACCATGATTGAGTAATAGTAGCCTGAGGGGATTGATGAGCAGAGGTCAGAACATGTGGTTATTGCAGGGCTGGTGGTGAGACCTGATTAAGAAAGGGAATTATATGCAATGCTTGGCTTAAGTGTAGGGTCAGACACAAAGCAGAATTTCCATTGCCTTCAGAGAGCCAAAATGTGCAGTATTGCTGCTACAGGTTGCACCTCTAAAATCTGGGATTCTCTGGACTGGCAACATCTGTGGTCCGGCCGGACGATGGATGTTCCAGGATCAGAGAGTCCGGGTGTGTTGCAGCAGAGAGGGCGCCCCGGAGCTGGCATGCAGCTCAGTTGGGCTGGGAGGGGTGGGAAGACCGGTGGGGGGGCCAGAAAAATCCCTCTTCTGGGACCAGTCAGGTCCCAAGGGTGCCGGACCAGGGAGGTCCATGTACCATTCCAAGCCCACTGTCTGGAGTATTTCCTTTGGAGCTGTACAAAGCATGGGAGAAGATTTCCAGGAACACTCAGGATTTGCCTAGCCCTGTTCTCATTGGAAGCTGTGAGAGTCTTACCATTGACTTCATCAGGGATAGATTTAGGCCGGCGTGGGACGCATTTGCAATTCCCACCCATTATGCTTTCAGGTGTATGGCTCTTTGCAAACCTTTTTACATTTCTCTCCGCTTGGCAAGGTTCACACCCCTGAGTTTCACTTTGAACCAAAGCTTTCAGTACACCATACACATAGAGGACTTTTCTCTGAGTATAAGAAAGGATCAATAACCTGAGATTTGCTGCTGACACGATAGCATGTCTTTTTTCCTTATAAAGTCTAGATCCATGCGTCTGGATAATGTATTCCACCAAGGGTTCCTTGTATTACACTTTAAACGACCACTAGAAGGTTGTTCAAACTCTGTGTACACACATTTCAGCTTTACAAAACTTACCCGAAATCTTCACCTGGAACCAAGTTGTGATTGACTTGACAAACTCAAAACCAAAAAGCTTTGTGGGTCTGGGCAAATCTGACTTGAGTTTCGGGTTTCTTAACCAAATCTATAATGCCATGTGTTTTGTAACCACTCCCAGGTGGATTTGAACCTGGGACCACAGTATAGAAGCCTCTACCCTTTGGGCTAGAAGCCAGCTGGCTTTCCGCCTGTATGGTAGATCTCTCTTGTTCTTAGCTATTGCTGTGGTCTAGGTGCCACTGCATGGGACAGTGAACCTCACTAGGGCTACGTATACATTGGCACCTTTTTCCAGAAATGCTTAAAAGAGAACAGTTTTCCGTTATAAGTATTTCCGGAAAAAGAGCGTCTACCTTGGCAGGATGCTTTTTTGGAAAACCCCTTTTCCCGGAAAAGCGTCCGTGGCCAATGTAGACGCGCTTTTCCGGAAAAGAGCCCCGATTGTCATTTTCGCGATCGGGGCTTTTTTGCGGAAGATTACTGGGCTGTCTACACTGGCCCTTTTCTGGAACAGTTTTCCGGAAAAAGGACTTTTGCCCGAACGGGAGCAGCATAGTTTTTCCGGAAAAGCAGCTGATTTCTTACAGTAGATCATCAGTGCTTTTCCAGAAATTCAAGGGGCCAGTGTGGACAGCTCGCAGCTTATTCCAGAATAGCGGCTGCTTTCCCGGAATAAGTGGCCCAGTGTAGACACAGCCTAGGTGTGTGGGTTACATTTTCCCTAGTTGAAGTGGTTACAAAAATGCCTACAGCACTAGTGTTACACTTATGAAAGTGTGCTCAGGAGTAGCACCCACAGACATTTGCTAGCCTTCTAGCAGCTGCTGGCTTTGTTGGGTGCTAAGTCACAGCAGTGGAAGGCCAGATAGGTCATTGTAGGAGGGAGTGATGGTTGGAATTTCTGGGAGAGATGTGGATCCTTGTGCTCCATCACTGGAGGGATAAGTGAAGGTTTTGGCAAGGAGAGAAATGAAGCAGGGGAAGAGTTTGCCCTAAAGAGATAAGTCATTGAGCAGGTCCAAGGGCCATAGAGACTACTCTATCAGCCCTTTGGAATCCAGCTTCAAGCTGACATGGGGAGCAGTCTTTCTCCAGATTTGAGGATGCACAGAATATGCATCCAAGCAACACCACCGATGCAGTGGAGATTCCTTTAGATTCTAAATACCTGACTGAAACTCTTCTCTACCATGATCAGTAAACAGCTGAAGCGTGGCTATCGATAAACGCATTAGCTAACTAGCGTGAGTGTAGATACAATTCTTATGCGCATATACGTGCCTAAACTATTCCTTTCTGCAGTGAATTAGCATCTCAAGCCAACACCCTGGCATTCTAGTATTGAAGATGGCACTAGCAATATAGTTGCTATACATTTATCAGGAAAAACCATATGTTTTAAAATGAATATTGATGATTAGTGATGTTATAATGGATCTTTGCAAACGCTGATTATTTTTGCCTGCTAATTCTGGTTTTCTCCTCTTTTCTTATTGCAGCGGAACCTGCAGATCTCTTGAAGGTATTAGATTTTCATAATTTACCCGAAGGGATAACGAAAACAACAGGTTTTTGCACAAGCAGAAGATCTTCAAAAGGCGCAGATGTTGCTTTTCGAGTAACAAAAGATGCTCAACTCAGTGCACCAACCAAGCAGTTGTTTCCTGGTAAGTAACCTTTTGATCTTTCACACACTTGTGTGTCCTGGAATTGCAACTGAAACATTTTGTGGGTGTTTGGAAGGGAAATAATCTACTATTTGGGGTTGATATGGATGGTCTAGTCATCTAATACTTTTAAAATAGCTACAGGTTGATCCTCTCTAGTCCAGCACCCTCAGGACTTGATTGGTACCGAACCAAAGAATTTGCCAAACCACAGAAGGCCAATATTGTCTGGCTACATTACCAACATTTCCACTGCTTACTGGGATGTTAGAAGATATTTAAGGGGTAAATTAGAGCTAAATAACAGCACAGAACAGTGAGAGCCAGGACTGGCGGCTTTATGGGACCACGGGAAACTTGGCCATGTCCATGAAATGTGGACATGCGGCTAACTAAAATCATGCCAGACCACAGATGTTGCTGGACTAGAGAAGTTCAACCTGTACATTCGTTTTTTTTCTCACTTCATCTGAACAGGGATGGTACATTATCCAGCGAACATGCAAACGCTGGCTAATTACATCCATCCCCATCTCCATAAACAAGCTGGTGTTTCTCATTATCATAGAGTGATATCCCCCCATGAGTTGGTATCCCAAGATAAGTTCTTATTGGAAGAAATGTTGAAATGTTAATCAGAATCTTATTATAGAATGAAAATAGCCTTTGTCCCCTAAATCCAGTGAGGAACAGGGCACTTATTAAAAACCAGCTACACTATGGAGACATTTTTAAATTTTGCATTAGGTGATGGAGTATTAAGTGTAAAAAGCGAAAATGTCTCTAAGCAGAGAGCGTGTGGTCTTTGTTTGAAAGAAAAACGGGCCAATGACTTAAGAATTAAGCGGTCTGGCCCCACTTACTGCGGTATGTGGGTTTCTCACAGTCATGAGTGTATTTATTCCCCCAAACAGCCGCACAAGGGAGGGAGTGTTATTATCCACATTGAGGTATAGAGAGAGTAAGGGTATGTCTACACTACAGCACTATTTGAAATTAACTTAATTCGAAATAGCTAAGTTGAATTAAGCTAATTTGAAATAATGCATCTATACACAAAAACTATTTTGAAATAGCATGTCTACACTGAGTGGACCCTGAACCGAAGTTAAGGCTGGCTGGAACCAGTGCCGGCAGGGCATCAGGTTAGGACTTAGTGTGTGGGGCTGCTGCCTGAGGGTAAGTGAGCTCTGTGCTTAAAGGGACCCGACCCCCACCCCGGACAGACAGTTCTCAAGGTTCCCCACTTGCTTGTCTACCTCGATGAGGGACAGCAAAGCAGTCCTGTCTTGGAGTGCCCTGAGTGCCCGCACTCGGGACACCACAGCACTCGGCCACACGGAACCAGAGCTGCCCCTGGGCATGCTGGTGCGTCTCGTGGGGTCATTGCCATCAGCCTGGCTGCACTTGCTGTAGGCTGGCATCCGGGGGGGGCCATCGGGGGGGCGGCAGGGTTCCGGC